GCGATGAATTTGACAAAAGGGAAAGAAATGAGAATTTGGCTCTCAATTTGTGACTTTGTGTAATTGTTTTTGTAGGGTAAGACCTCCGGCTCCTCGTGGTGGGAGACCTCCGGCAATTCGAGGTCATGGTGGTGCGAGTGCTTCTGTTCAGACCCGGGGTCGTGGTGGGCGTACAGGAAGTCGACCTATTCAATCACCTGAAGTTGAACCGTCTTCATCAACTCCATCGATTCGCACCCCTGTCGATAGTGGAAGTACACCTGCAGGTACACCTGCCAGTACACCTGCCGAGACTCCTTCTGTTGACACGGGCGCTCCTGATTCAGAGACAGCTACAAGAGACATTTTTTATTGCGAGAAATGGTTGAAGACGGTGGGTAAAGCTGCTTGTTGGAAGGTGTTTAAGAAGTTGATAGCTAACAGCTACCCGATGGGAGAGTGCAAACACTGTCATACTCTAATCAAAGCTCATCCTCACAAAAATGGGACCACTGCAATGAATAACCACATGGTCTCTTGTTTGGCTATGGTGGAAGCAAATAAAAATCAGACAGTATTGCAGACATCAGAAGGTGGTCAAGTAAGTGGTTTATGGAAGTTTGATCAAGGAAAAGCTAGATATGCATTAGCCAGTATGATCATTATGGATGAATTGTCATTTCGCTTTGTGGAGAGAGAAGGGTTTAAGCAATTCATGTCCCAAGTTCAGCCACTGTTTAGGATACCCGGGAGGAAATCTATAAGAGATGACTGCTTTCATATCTTTATGGATAAAAAGATGGATTTAATTGATTTTTTTGAATCAAGGAGTCAAGGAAGAGTTTCAATCACTACGGATACATGGACGTCTGATAACAACAAGAATTTCATGTGTGTTACTGCTCACTTTATTGGAAGTGATTGGAAGTTGCAGAAGAAGGTGATATCCTTTGTTCCAATCACAAGTCATACTGGAGTTGATATTGCAGAGAAGCTTGCAGAAGTTCTTGAAGAGTGGAAGGTGAAGAATCTGTTCTGCATGACCATGGACAATGCAAGTTCAAATGATGTTGTTAGTGAGTGCATGATAATGAAGCTAAAGGAGTGGGGGTGTGATTTGATGGATGGGAGGTTTCTACAGTTTCGATGTGTTGCACACATCATTAATCTGGTGGTACAAGATGGACTGAAAGTAGTTGGTGGTGCTGTGGACAGAGTTCGGGATTGTGTGAAGTGGGTGAGGTCTTCACCAGCTAGGTTGTTACGATTTAAGAATGGCATGGAATTTCTGCATATGGAGTCAACCAGGCTGGTGTCTTTGGATGTACCGACTAGGTGGAACTCCACCTATACCATGTTAGAGTCGGCAGAAAGTTTTGAGGTAGTGTTTACAACGTTGTATTCAAGTCCACACGATCATTCTCTTAGAGATTATCTGGACTCAAGAGGTGGGCTTCCAACTAATCAAGATTGGCAGATGGTTAGGAAGTTGAGAGACTATCTGAAAGTCTTCAATGACTTGACCCTTCTAGTCTCTGGTAAGTGAAATTCCTGTACTGCATTGTTTTATTTAAAAATTTTAACGATTTGCTCATTTCAATTTGTGTTATTCTAATTGTACAGGAACGAAATATGTGACTATGCATATCTTCTTCAAGAAGCTTGTTACGGTATATGACATCATTGAGAAATTGAAGAAGGATCCGCTTGAAGAGATCCAAAAGATGGCTGAGAAGGTTGAGGAAAAGGTAGAAAAGTATTGGTTTGAATCACCTGTTGTGAACGAGAATAACATGAAGGTGAACCACTTAATTTATATAGCATGTGTGCTTGATCCAAGAAGTAAGCTTGACTTGGTGTCTGAGGTTTTGGCAATGATGTATGGGAATGTGAAGGGAGGAGAAATGGTTGACTGCATTAGGAAGGAAATGCGACAGCTATTTGAGTTAGATGTTGGCGAGTATGTTAACGAGCGCAGTCCTTTATAATATAGGGCGAGTATGTCGGCGAGTGGAGTCCACGGAGCATGTTGGCGAGTGAGTCAGATAGATGCAAGTGAGTCAGATAGAAAAAGAGAATTAGTCAAGACAGCATCTCATAGACAGAAAAGCTTCATCGTCTTGCTTGCGTGAAGGATTAAAAAAAAAAGGCAGTCCAAAAAGAGTGATTGAGTCCGAGTCAAGCGATAAAAAAAAATTGTAATAATCCTCACATCCTCCATAAGACCCTATCCATACTACTGCCTTACTAAAGCAGTAGTCGTGCCCGGGTGTAATAAGAACTACATTAACAGTTGGAACTTCCTCAGCTTCTAGAGCAACTACTACGGGTACAGAAACTACTAGAGCAACAGTAGCAGCAATAGCATCTTTAAAAAATAGCTACATTAGCTATATCAGCTACTTCTCAAGCAGTAAGAGCTTCTTCTATTCCTTTTTATACCAGTGGGGTATAAATGAGTTCCTGGTTTCACCGGTTAAGCTGCTAAACTTGCCCTAATTCTGTGCTTTATCTTATAGTTAACCTTAAAGCACTTCCAGTAAACTAAGGAAGACTCGCTTGGGCTCTTATAATCATTGCAGGGTTCGGTTCCCCTTTGCTCTACGTCGGATGGAAATATCATCGAGTCTGGTAGGCAGTATTGGTAATATCGTATAGAAATAGAAGATCCACTCCCATGTCTTTCTTGGTTGGTTTTACCAACCGGCGATTTCGGACAAGTCTTTCTTCATTTTTAGAGCAAGAAGCGGAACTAGAAGAAAGCTTTCTTTATGGATAACCAATTCATTTTTAAATATAGTTGGGAGACTCTCCCCAAGAAATGGGGAAGTATGGATCAAAAGCACCCTACTCTGCATCTGAGCCTACCACTGGTGAGAGCACGGCTGGTGGTGATAGGATTAAGCTGCTAGAGGAGAGGATTAGGAAGAGGAAAAGGGAAGCACTTTTGCATGATACAGGAGGTAGCTCTGCTGAGCTTGACATCTATTTAAGATGTCAAACTGATGGCATCAATGAGGAGAGTGATGATGCAAAGTTTGACATCTTGAGTTGGTGGTCTCGACACTCTGGAACATATCCGATTCTTGTTGAGATGGCTAAGGATATCCTAGCTGTTCCCATCTCTTCTGTTGCCTCAGAGGCAACCTTCAGCTGTGGCGGTCGGATTCTCAGTCCATTCAGGTCTTCTTTGAGTGATATCATGTTGGAGGCATTGATTTGTGCGGAGGATTGGATAAAGTATAAAGATGTCGGGCCCGGAGATAATGACGATAGGGAAGAAGATGAAGAGATCATGGATTTGGAAAGCGGTAAGTTCTAAAACTCCTTTAATTATTATTTGTTCAAGTAAACAAATTCTATTTCTTTCTACATAATTCAATGTATGAATATTCTAACAATTTGTTTTATTTTTTTCTTACTCAGTTAATACCACTTTCCAGTCTAGAATGGAAAGTGCAAGAATTGATGTTGGCAATGCAGATGGAAGTCAGAACATTCCAGATGGGAATGAGCAGGAGGGTGAAGAAAATGTGCCGGAGGGACAGTATGAGAAAGATGGATATGACGATGTTGGTCATCACCTCTTGCCGCAACTGAAAGAAAAGGGTTATGTAGATGTTGGTTCTTCTTCGGTTGATAAGTGATGAATTGGTGGTGACTTGTAATTTGTGACTTTATGTAGTTTATGACTTTATGTTCTAGTATTTGAGACATTAATTTGGTGATTTTAAATCTATTTTGTATGCAAAAATGATTGAAACTTGACTTGTGGAGTGATTTAGATGTAGAAATGTAAGGCTGAACGTTTAATTTTAGGCAATTTGTATCGATCTTGAAGTTACAGGTGCCCTGGTCGGTTCGGTTAGTGGCTCAGTTAGTCGGTTATAACCGTCTATATCTCGAGTTGCGGTTACTTCGGTTAACCGAGCAACTAACCGGTAACCGACCGGTCGGTTGCCGGTTAACCGAAGGTTTATATCGGTCGGTTGGCGGTAAGCTTCCTCCTTGGCGCGGTTAACCGGTAACCGGCATTTCGGTTATCGGTTATAACCGAACTAACCAAAATGCCAGCCCTAATATTAATCATGTATCAATAGAACGTGTTTAAGTCCTCTTTAAAGAAACCAATCAATTTGACCGAACTACGTGGACTTTGCTCCCGAGTACTCGGGTACGTAGGCAACCAATAGGTTCGAGTCCAACTAATAAATTTTCTCCACAATTTAACGTGTAAGCGTTAACACTTCAAATCACTCTTTTTTTAATCGAACTACGTGGACTTTGATCCCGACTATTCGGGTACGTAGGCAACCAATAGGTTCGAGTCCAACTAACCAAAACTCTTTCTTTGCTTTTGAGAATTACGTCAATAGACGTGTGATCAATTTTAAATAATAACATCAAATTAATTGAATCCTATAATTAAGTACGTAAATAAGCCAAATAATAATAATACACCCCAATGCAGTTAAAATCGCGCTTTAAAACTAAAAAACTTACGGTTTTACGCTTTTAGGACACCAAAACGCTTTCATTTCTATATAAAATATTTAGTGTATAAAATCGGACTAAATTGCGTTTTAAAGCTTAAAAGCTTACGCTGTTACGCTTCTAGCTCACCAAACACTTTACACTTTTACGCTTCTACTTCACCAAATGAGTATTTTTTTCATGAAATTAATTATAAAAAGTATAGTTTAAAGTTAAATCACCAATAATATGATACATTTCATATTAAGAGATACATATAATGTATTTGGATGCACTCTCAGCTTCAATAGAGTAATCTAATTCACCAGCTAGACCCTTCCTAAATTCATTAGCATAAAGGGAAATGTGACTTATAGTTAAGATCAATGTTTATGAACTTATTGTTAAAATGCTATGAGTTTCTCTACTTTAGACATGATTTGCAGGTGCTTATTAACTTATCTCAATTACGTATACTTATATTTTACATAGATATATGTCGTACTTAACAGGAATTTTTAGCTATTTTATAGCATGCATAAAAAACTTACGTTTTTACGCTTTGATTCTACACTTTACGATTTTACCCCTTTTCCGCTTCTAGGTAGAATCACGCTTTTTGACTACATTGATACACCCAACTCCTTTAAAACCAATCGATTTAGGTAGTACCAATTTATGGCGTTGTGGGGTGTGAATACACTTTCTCACACGTAACCGTACTCCCGAACCCATAGCTTCAAATCACATACCGATTTTTATTGGTTTTTTTGCTCTGAAAGTTAAAACAAAAAAAGTGTTTGATCCACTTCAATCTAGATCAATGGTGACTCCGAACAATTTGCGATGGGTCCCCCGATCCCGAGAGGAGGTTGTGACAGAAAGGTCCGACCTAGGACTTTAACGGTAAGGGCAGACCACCATTTCCATCGGTAGCTAGCCTTTTCCATCGCCTTGAAAGGGATAGTAGGGCACCGGGGATCGTCCTCGTCGGGAACTTCATCATCGATATCTTCTTCCCTCATCGCTTCATGGATGTCTTTCGTATCGGACTCCGCCACATACCACACTTTGTCTGACATCAGTTCAGAGAAACTCATCTTTCCGATCCATACAAACGAGGACTTGGTCCGTTTCCGCGTCTGTTGTGTTTCCTTGTCCGAGGATGTGTTTGGCGACGACGTGACCGAAGGAGGACGCCGGTTTTCTGTCGTCATCTCTGTGTCCCTCCGGCACGACGACTGTCCCCCCGACGTCGGGGGAACCATGCAAAATTAAAAGAGCAAGGGCGCTTCGTGATATCGCCGCTCCGAAAAAATGAAGCTGAAAAACCCTACTAGTAAAAGATACTGTTATGCAATTATAGTACTATACTCAAAGACATTTTTTCTTTTCTGGATACAAGTTGTAATTCTAATTAAAATATAATGTGATTATTGTTGAATAAGAATTTTGTTACTTTGCACCATTTCATTCTTCTTTTAATGACTCGCATGACTTATCGTCAGAGCTGGGGATTATTAGTTTATGGTTTTGGTTTCGGTACAAAGCTCTCGTCCGCAAAACCATGCAAAAGCCTAGTCAAATTATCGTATCACGGCATAGTGATACGATGATACAACTTCGTATCACCATATCATGATGCAAGGTTTTGCCGGCAGAGTTTTGTAGCCATACACTCCCTTAGTTTATTACATTAAATATCTAATATTTGGGAAACTCGGCTATTTAAGGATGGTTTGGGGATATCTTAGGATTATTATGTTTATGAGTACATTATAATCAAGGATAATTAAAAGGGAAGTCGAGGTAGGAGACGACTGGAAAAAGTTAGAGTGCTAACACTTTTTTTAGCATGATGGTAACACTCAATGTAGTCAAAATGCGTTTTAAAACGCAAAAACACACGTTTTTACGTTTCTGACTAGACAAAATGCTTCAGTTTCTATGTAAAAACGTAATATGTGTAAAAACACTAAAAAAGGTCAACAATGGTAAAAACGCACAAAAACCGTAAAAATGCGTTTCTGATACTTTTTGTACGTTTCCAGTTGCTAGACTTTCAAGTAATTTCATATCGTTCTCCCTACAAACCAGCAATCAGAACAACGATCCCTACAGTCAAGTCACCTTACAACAAGTATTGAACCTCTCCTCAAAGTTTGATGACGATCCAGCGGTTGGTTTCTCCCCTGAAAACAACTGGCCAGCTACACGAAAACAGGGTTGCACCCTGTTAGACCATCAATATTTCTCGACGAACCATATATCATAAAAACAATTCCAACGGTCAGATAAGATCTTAAAAATTATGGAATGCGTCCTTCAAATTTGAGGACGATCCAACGACAGGTTTTATTGGAATTCCCTCTTGAACGTAATGCTTTGCTGCAAAATAAAAATTGTGTAGCCCCTCTAATCCTCTCGTGCTTTCCTTCTTCTTTCATTCTCAATTCCCCAGCCCTAATTAGTAATTACCCCTAAATTTTATGGTTGCTTCAAGGTTTGCTTTTGGTGATGATGAGGGTATGCAGAGTGGGAGACGAAAGAAAGGACCAAAAAGGGCGAGGGGAAGCAGATGAATGAGGGTGCATATTTTTGCACCTTCATTCTCTAGGAATCTCTTCCCCAATCACAAATATCCATTTGGCTCAACCAAAGATCTGGTTTCCACTTAAACCATCCAACTTTCCGTTAGTTACAATTAAACCCTACAATTTTCAATTCACTCCACATATTTTTAGATTATTTAAAATAAGTTTAACCATAAACCAACAAGTCAAACACCTTCCTCATGCCATCGTTCATCAATTCAACGATTGGTTCATAAATTAAAACTCCCCCAAATATTAGAATGATGTCACTTTGATGCGAGCATGACATGACATGTTCAAGAAGGACGAAGATGTTACACCATGACATCATCAAGTTATTACTTTGTTGTTTGATGTGCGACTTAAATGATTAATATTTACTAATAATATGATTTCTCACGTTCAATGGATGAAAACCTTGTGACTATTTTATACACAAAAACTTACTTTTTTACGCTACGCTTTTACGCTTTATGTTTTTACTCATGTTTCCGCTTATGCGTAGAAACACGCATTTGACTACATTGGTGACACTACGTCCAATCAGGCACTTTTTTACACTAATAAATGAGAGAGAGGGGGCAGGGGGATGTAGGTTGTTAATGAAATATTGAGGAAGGGGAGCCAACATGTGTGTGGAGAAGGGGGCAAATTAATTGGGGATACCACCAAATATATACCACAAATACAAGACACCACACCACACAAAACTATAAAGTTTAAAAAACATACCACAACCTCACCGCACAACTTTATAAAAGCACACCACCAAGTTTCTTAAGCATACCACAGAGTTTAGAAAGCATATCACAACTTCTCACACCACAAGTTTCTTAAAATAGACCACAAATTCATTTAAGCATGCCACAAGTACCCATAAACCAGGCCGCAAATTTATAAAAACTCACAACAAGTCCCATGAAGCAAACCAAAAATTTCATAAAGCATACCACAAATTTATTAAAGCAGACCATGAACTCCATAAAGCAGACCACATGTCTCATAAAAGAGACTGCAAGTTTATAAAAGCACACCACAAGTCTCTTGAAATATACCAGTAATCTCATATATCATATCGCAAGTTCATTAAATCATGTCACAAGTTCATTCAATAAGACCGCGAGTTTATTAATGCACAACACAAATTTCTTAAAGCATATCGCAAGCTTCTTAAAGCAGACCACAAGTTTCATGTAACATGCGAGAAACCTCATAAAGCAGCACACACTTTTTTTCAAAGCATACCAGAAAACTCATAATTGGACCTATTTGTAAATTTTAAAAATTTCAGGTATCAAAATGTAAGGAAAAAATTTGAGGACCTAATACGTTAATTCCATCAATATTTTAGGACCTATTTGAAAAAAATGAATTTGAGGCACTAAATTTTACATCTATTAAGTTGAGATACCGAACCGCTAGTACGGGAGCTTGATCGTAAGAGCTATAGTGATAGGATGATAAAAAAAAGACTAGGCTGGTACAAAGAATAATGGGTTGCAACCTGATCTTAGTATTATGTATTTGACTGTTGAAGTTTATGTCCATGAATTGGATGATTCAAAGTTTGATTTATTTTCATCCTACAATGTTCTTTCTTAAGAGCACTTTTACTATGCTATAATGCATTGGCGTTAATCTACAACTTGAAGTTGTACCATAACTTATAAGTTCAGGTCGTATCGTAAAGAAATTTGTTCCCTTATGTTATGGTACAACTTAAAGTTGTATCATCGCATAAATGTACAAGTTCAAGTTGTACTATAAAAGAATTTGTACAAAATAGTATAGATACAATATGAAGTCATACCAACTTTAAGTTGTACCATAAAAATAAAAACCTATATCACGAATTCGGGATTGAAGATCAAAGGCAAGAGCAAAGACGATGATCAGAAAAACCAGAACCGACACTACTGACTGACAAGTGAGAGGTCAAAGATTCAAATAATTTCTCTAGCATCTACACCAACACAAATGCTACAAAAACTACAAAGAACCTACCAACCCAGACGCCAGACAGACTCTAACTTAACCCACGGTCTTATTAAATATCATTCGACAAACCAATATAATGACACTAAACAACACCAAAACCAGTCTGCACATCACGAGTCTACTACCTTCTCTATACACACAGTCACCTGTTAGGAGCCCCCCCCATCATACAGCATGGATCACAGGATTGCTGCTCGAGCTACTTGCCGTTGGATTGGCGTGGAAAGCAGATTGCCCAGATGACGACCCCTCGAGCAGTTTTACTGAGAGTGAAGAGGACCCTGAACTACCCATCGATTCTCCTAGGCTCAGCTTCGACATGCCGATGAGCTCGTCTACGTTGATCGGGTTTTTAGAATGCGAAGCAGTTGGCTTCAGAATCTCGTGGGTCCCCTCCTTTGCCGGCTGCTCTGGTAGTGCACTGTAGCCAGTCGGCCAAAATGGGAGAGAGAATGGGATGAATGGGGAGAAGTATGTAGGGTACATGACTGGGTATACAGGCTGTTGATGCTGCTGCTGCAGGGGATCAGGCTTCGGCAGGAGAGTGCTACAACTGTCTCCCTCGTTGGAGTTGGACGACTCCATCGATTCACATTCTTCATCTAACGAGGGAGGAGGCAGAGCAGGGATTACGTCATCCTCCTCCTGAGTTTCAGCATCAGGATTGCCAATAGGCAAGAATTCCTGTGTTGTCATCTCAGTATCAGCAGCCTGCAAATAAGAGCAAAGAAGAAAGAACACATCAGTGCATGATCAGAATGTTGAAAATTGTTTGATCCGTGGTTAACTTCCAGTTGTTTGTTTTGATTTAGCTGCGGGTTTTTCTCCTACTGTGCTGAGTAGAGGTTCTTGTTTCATGCAATGCTAGATTTGACCTTAAATGCTAAATGCACAAAAATATGAGGGCTGGTGCTCACTTCATCTGCAACTATATCGAAAAGGCTGGAGCGTCTTTTCCTCCTCGAGACATTACTTTGCCTGATGAAGTACTTCTGAGCATGACTGGCCACCTGAGTGGGAGTCCTTGATATAACATAATTTCGTGCAATTCCACGCCAATCGCCTTTCCCTAGCTTCTGCAGGCCTAACAGGAACATCCTATGCTCCTCTTCAGTCCACGGGACACCTGCATTAACATAACATAAGTTAAATGAACAGACACCAAGGTACAGTGGCAGCTCCAACAACAAATCAGTAAGTCATTCATATAAAGCATTCTTCACCAAACCTCTAAGTACCAGATGATATTCTTCTCAATCCACTGTATCAGACCAAGCAATTGCTGTAAAACCAAATTAGTTACAGTTCCCCTAATATATACCTTGACCGGTAATTGAAGACCTTAACTCGTATGTTGGATTGAGGTTCAGGATCATCAATTCCTATCACTTAACACAACCATATTCTGCTTGAACAAGGTTACCATTCCTTATCGAAGCCACTAACTTATGATCTTCTCAAACCGTATTACCATATCCAGCTAAATCCATAGCTGCGCAAACCAACTAAATCCACGAAATAAATATCCCATTCCCCTGATCTAATTGAAATTTCACTTGGATTCCATTCTCATCTACATCTCAACTTGTTGTACGAAAATGGAAAAAGACACCAAAAAACAAAACCCAAAAGGGAAAGCTTATCTTGATTAGTTTGCTTTGATGCCAAACTTCTCCATTCCCCCACCAGCGAAGAAATGGAGTAAGAGCTTGAATCAATAACAAAACTTCAGCCGTTTCAAGTTCCAATTTTTCCAAGACAACCCAGCAAAACATTTCAACAGAAAATTATTATAAAAAAAAAAAAGATCCCAAAATCAATCCAAACCTCTTTTCCGTTCGCGGCTAGAGGACGACCCAGCAACAAAATCCTCCGAGGCATACCCATCACCGGCGCCGCCTTGATCGGGGTCATCGCCGCCGGGCGATCCGGGCGCGTTCAACCCGGAAATGTTCGGACCGCCACCGCCTCCGGGATTACCCGAGCCAGTGTAATGGCTCAAATTGCCCATGCTTGCACTCTTCCGGATCGAACCGTCCGTCAATCGGACCCCGAACAGCTTGACCCCGCGGTTGGGGCAAGTCCTGGAGTTGTGGCCATTGTGGCTGCAGTGAGAGCAGCGCCTTGT